AGACGCCAAGGGGTGGAGCAAAAGACCTCCTCCCCCAGCACAGCCAAGTGCAGGCCATCTCAGACACCTGCACTCAGGCCCGTGGTCCTGATCATCCTCTATTTGGATCTGCTGGGTAAAGCCACGAGGAACCCCAGAACGGGCTCCCACAATAGCTACATCATCATCACGTTACTTTCTTTTCCTCTTGCCTCAGTTTTGCATGTTTTAGGATGTGTATATTAGTAACTTGTTCAACATTATGTCAGATTTATTATCATTGGAATTTTACTTCATCTTCAAAACTATTTTTATAAACAGAGACACTAGTTCAGAGGACTATGTAAGAGTTTCCTTATTCCAGCATAGTTTATGTGGAAGTGCCCTAAGGCAGTGGTTCTCAACCTGTATGTTGAGACCCCTGTGGTGTCAAATGATCTTTTCACAGGATAGCATATCAGATACTTACTTTATGATTCATAGTAGTAGCAAATTTACAGTTATGAAGCACCAACAAAGTTTCATTTTATGGTTGGGAGTCACCAGAGCAAGAGGAACTGTATTAAAGGGTCACAACATTAGGAAGGCAGAAAACCATTGTACTAAGGGAAGAAAATAAAAGAATAACGACAGAAAAAATGTTTTATTTTGTAAACTTTCAACCTTCTTGGATTAATGACAACTTTCAGCTTATAATTACCGCTTTACATTTCATGGATCCAATTGGATCTAAACACTGTACTAGTTTGTTTCTCTATTATAGTGTAAAAGTTATCACAGCAGAGCTGGTGTCAAGGTCATAGTAAGTTGCTCAGTGAATGAATGCATGACTTTGTTATATTGAGCTAGAAAATAAACAGTCTGTTAAATGTTGTTCTCTAGCTGCTACAAGAAATAGCCCTCAGGAAAAAACCTATAAATGAGCGATATCAAGGGCTTGAGAAGTTCTTCGCTCCTGATACAAATGAAAGATTCGACTCCCACCCTTCACCAAGCATAGGATGCAGCCATTCATGTTCCAGCATAACATTCACAGGTAAATTACCATCGGGAATCAGATGACTTTTGGGCCACTCTAGTCAAATCCTAACTCAATTGTAAAAACTGCCACTATTTTTAAAATACTGGGAAATTCTGTTCAGTGACTAAAACTTTCCCTTTGGTTATCTGAAAGTATTAAAGTTGTGTGAGCTGCCATATTTGAAAATATCAGGAAGTTAAAAAAAGATAATAACACTGAAGGAAGATCATGTTAAGAATTTAAATCATTGTTCATTTTAATGCACAAATAGTAAGTCTCTGAATCACTTCATCAGTTAAGCATTGTATGATGGTACTTTAAATTTTGTCTGGAAAACAAATCATAAAAATAGCAAGATCTCCTGAATTTCTAAGACTTATCTCTAATTTCAGTTTCTTTCTGAAATTTTTGTATTGTCTTTTATTGTTCTAAAACACAAATAACTAATTTACCTTTTGACTGTGTAGTGTACAACTCAGTGGTACTATTTACTTTCATAATAATATATAACATTGGTGCCATTTGTCTCTAGAATGCACGTTATATTGTTAGATCAAAATTCTATTCTCATTAAACATAATTCATTATCCTCTCATTAACCCCTAGCTAATACCATTCTTCTTTCTCCTTGTTTTATTTTTCTTATTCTGATGAACTCATTCATATAAATGGACCAGCATATCTCAGTCAGAACAGTGTCTCAAGTTTTATCATGTGCAAGAATGTATGTTTTTAAAAATAAAGTGTAAAAAATACTAGAATATGTGAGTCACTATATGTTTATCTTCTCTTTTATGCATGTGCCAAACTTTTAAAACTCTAGGGGACGTAGTTGGAAAATCACTGTTAAAATACTGTGTTTATAAAGGAAATCAGTCCTTTCTTTTTAGGGCTTTAAATATGCCTTTGTATGGACATTGTATGTGGGCTACCACTGAATAGCCCACCCAAACATGAGTGATTACCCACAAAAGCTGAATCCCAGGAACTCTACTATGATTTAGGCAGATCAACAGTCTGGAAATACCTGCTTGGCTGCTTCTTCTTCTTCTTCTTCTTCTTCTTCTTCTTCTTCTTCTTCTTCTTCTTCTTCTTCTTCTTCTTCTCCTTCTCCTTCTTCTTCTTCTTTTTGAGACAGGGTTTCTCTGTGTAGCTTTCCTGGAACTTGCTTTGGAGACCAGGCGGGCCTCGAACTAATAAAGATCCACCTGGCTCTGCCTCCCGAGTGCTGGGAATAAAGGCATGTGTCACCACCGCCCGGCCTGCTTGGCTTCTTGACCTGTCATTGTTCTCTGGAAGCAGTCTACCATTGTGGCATATTAATTTAAGATGTGTTACATTGGTTTATGCTGTGGAATATTAATTTAATGATGCAAAGATGTGCTGCATTCTTTTATGTTGTGTAGTGGGTAGCCATTCCAGCTTGGATCTGGTTCCAAATTCCAGATCCAAGCTGGAATGGCTACCCACTACAATGTTGCATTTGTTTAACTCTGTGAAGCTGTGTTACTTTGCCTGTTTAAAATACCTGATTGGTCTAATAAAATGCTGAATAGTCAATAGATAAGCAGGAGAAAGGATAAGCAGGGCTGGCAGACAAGAGAATAAATAGGAGGAGAAATCTGGGAAGAGAAGATTTGGGAGAAAAGGGAAAGGGGAGGAAGATATCAGGGGCCAGCCACCCAGCTACACAGCTACACAGCAAGTTATGGAGTAAGAAAAAAGGTATATATAATAGAGAAAGATAAAAGCCCAGAAGCAAAAGGTAGAGGGGATAATTTAAGAAAAGCTGGCTAGAAATAAGCCAAGCTAAGGCCAGGCATTGATAAGAAAGAATACACCTCAGTGCATTTATTTGGGAGCTGGGTGGCAGGCCCCCCTCAAAGAGTAAAGAGTAAAAACAATTAACTATAGCCTACTGCTTCTATAACCTTGAGGAGGAGCCCTTAGGAGTCTTGTAAATTTCAGCTTTCCCAGACATGGCAAGTTTTTTGTTTTGTTTTGTTTGTTTGTTTGTTTGTTTTTAACTTCCTAATTGTTGTGCACTTCCCTGATCCTTCCTGGAAGGAATATTTCAATTAAGAAGAAATTACTGGGCCAGGTAGTGGTGGCACACGCCTTTAATCCCAGCACTGAGGAGGCAGAGCCAGGCAGATTTCTGTGAGTTCAAAGCCAGCCTGGTCTACAGAGCGAGATCCAGGACAAGCACGAAAACTACACAGAGAAACCCTGTCTCAGAAAAACAAAAAGAAGAAATTACTGTACAGCACTAGGTATCATAGAATGAGTTAACTAGTATTTCCCAAGTTTTGGGAAAAGGTTTGAGAGATATTGGTATTGTTTATATATTTTTAACTTTCTATTTTCATATATCTATCTATCTATATCTATCCATCCATCTATCTATTTATTTGTGTGTGTATATTTGTGTGTGTACACAGATGCATGTATTATAGCTGTGTACAAGTATCTGTTTGCATGTGAGAACCTAGGTCAATATTAAGTGTTTTCTTTATTATCCATGTTTTTGTTTTAGACCAAGTATATCATTGATTTTGGAGTTTGCTGATTCACTAGACTAGGTGGCTTCTGACCTCAGGGAACCTGTCTCTATCTCTGAGTGATGGTTTAAGGGACCTGTGATACACCTGGGATTTTACAGAAGTGCTAGGGATACACACTCACTCCTCATCCTTGAATGACAAGTACTTTGCTGACTATCCAATCTACATAGGCTAATAATTTTCATTAAATGATGTACAAAACTCATCAGGGCCAGGACTTTTCATTGTAGGGAGAATTTTTTTTCCTGGCTCAGTATTTTTACATTATGTTAGATTTTCTATTTCTTAAGTTTTGTTCTGTTTATAATAATGTCTTGACATCATCTATGTTATTTACTCTTCATATGTTTAAATATATTTGTTTGGGGGTTGGCATGTCATTCCAAAGCACATGCAAAGCCCTGGGATCTACTCCAGTACAACACACACACACACAATGTCTTTTATTATAAATTATTATAACTTAATGCATATTGTAATATACTTTAAAAGTAATTTTTTATTTCTGTAAACATCTGTGTATACTTTTGACATTCATAGTACTTTTTCTTTATGACATTGGTGCTTAATAGGCTTTATTTTATAATTGAGACTGAATTTCATAATATTTGCTATAAATATTTCTTAATTCAGATTAATATTATTTGGGAACATAGAAGTAAAAATACGAACAATAGATTTACATGATTTTTACATATATTAAGATAAAAATTAAATTTAATCTTTAACAATATCATATATGTATTCTAATTACTCTATCATATTCTATTTTATCGTTTTTCTACCCTATTGATCCTCCTTGTCTTAGAATGATGAAACATCATGGCTAAAAGCTGTAGCTGGGGTAATCTCCTGGTCCTGCCTGGCCCACGGTCAGGATAAATCTCTCTCACCTGCCAGTCCCACAGTCGCTTGGACTCAAGCAAACACACAGAGACTTATATTACTTATAAACTGTATGGCCGTGGCAGGATTCTGGTTATTTAGTTCTTCTATCTTAAATTAACCCATTTCTATAAAACTATACCTTGCCACATGGCTCATGACTTACCAGTATCTTACATCATGTTTCTCATGGCAGTGACTGGCAGTGTCTTTCTCTGCCTCAGCCTTCAACTTCCCAGAATTATCCTCTCTCCTTATCCCACCTATACTTCTTGCCTGGCTACTGGCCAGTCAGCACTTTATTTATCAATCAATCATCCACAGCAAAAAACAACTTAGGAAGGAAAATATTTATTTCATTTCCCACTTCCATATCATACTTCATCTCAAGGCAGGAACCTGGAGGCAAGAACTAAAGCAGAAGCCATGAAGGAATGTTGCTTATTGGCTTGTTCCTCATGGCTTGCTTGGCCTGCTTTCTTATATAACCCAGGACCAGCAGCAGAGGTTTCGCACCACCCAACAGTGAGTTGGGCCTGTCCACATCAATCATTCCAAAAAAAAAAAAAAAGTTTGACCGATCTTATGGATCTTATGGAGGTATTTTCTCAATTAAGAGTACCTTTTCCTAAATGACTGTAGATTGTGTCAAGTTGACAAAAAACTAACAAGGACACCCTTCGTCTCCACAAGTTTCATTTTCAAGTTCATCTATTTTCATTTTATGACCCACTGATTTTAACAGAACTATTTCTGTGACTGTTGGTTGAGCCTATCCCATTGACGCTTTGTGGGATCACACAACTGAAGGATGACTCGCACTGTCCCAGCATCTAGCAATAGATTCCCAGGAAGCTATAGGAGTGCCTGAGCCCCTCCTTTATCTATGCTTCACTGTGGACCTGTGAGGTCTGGTGGAGCCCTAATGCAGGCAACTTGGTGTGGGCAGCTTGGCAACTGCAACCTGATGCCGCTCCTGTCAGCTCATGACTGCAATGGCTGCATCACAGGAAGAAGCACATTTTACAGCCCCTTCCCGGTCTTCTGGCTTTAACGTTCTACCCATGTCCTCTTCCACTATGTTCCCTGAACATTGAAGGTTGTGGAACTTACCTTATTTTATACTTTATATTATCGTTTTTCTGTTTCAGAAGACAAAGTGTGGATCCCAGACAGCAGCTTAAGTGGGCATGCTGGTAGTGCAGTTGCCTTGTATGATCAGCAGAGCGCTGAAAATCCACTTCCAAATATGCAAGAGCAGAAGACAGGTACAGTCAGCAGTATTGTGTTGCTGGCTTCCTTTGTTTAGTTGTTTGATTCTTACAAAATTATTAGTCATCTGAAATTTTTTGTAGATATACACTACTCCAAAACCTAAAGGCAGAAAATCAAGCCATCAAATGAACTCATTATTTCTCTCAAAGATAAATTACATTGTGAACTATTTTCCATAGCAACATATTAATGAATTATATTAAAATTATAGCTCAGAATATGATATGTTTTGAGCAGTCCTCAAAGAATATGCATACAAGTTCTTTACGTTATTGCTGTTTTTATGCTATATTTCATGTGCTTTACTTGATTCATTCTTTTAACTGAAAATACATTCTTCTCTCATACAGTGCATTCTGACCACAGTGTCTCTTCCCTGTACTCCTACAAGATCCCGCCTACCCCAGCTCACCCTTCACTTCCCTCTGTTTCCCTTCAGAAGAGGATAGGCCTCCAATCAAACAGACAAAGCAAAATACAAATAAGACAAGGCAAAACCCTCATACCAAAGCTGGCTGGACAAAGCAACGAAACAGGAAGAAAGGAGTCCTAAGAGCAGGCAAAGGAGTCAAAGACTCATCTGCTCCCACAGTTAGGAGTCCCACAAAACATCAAGCTAATGGCCATAACATATAAGCAGAGGACTTTGTGAAGACCCTTGCAGGCCATGTGCTTGCCACTTCAGTCTTTGTGAGCTCTTATGTGCCCTGCTTGGTTGATTCAGTGGGGAACGTTCTCCTGGTATCCTGCATCCCTTCTGACTCCTACAGTCTTTCTGCCTCCTCTTCCACAGAATTCTCTAGTCTCTGAAGGAGGGACCTCGTGGAGACCTACAGACCTTATTATGATTATCTGTACCCATTTGTAAAATTATTGAACTATATTGAGGTTGCATCTTATAACCAGAATCAATGTCATTTGGACTTAAATCTAATGTTCTATATTTTTACACTGGGATCTTTTATTTTTAAAGGTTATGATTGCATTTATTTATTTAGTGTCTTATACAGTGTACACAGTTATACATATATATTGGCTGTCTATTATAGCTATTTTCCACTGCATTTACCACCAGTATGTACAGCATATTACTCTTATTCCATCATACATAGAATATGATGCTTCATTATATATCTGCATTTTTTCTGCATTTCTTATGATGTTGCACTATATAGCTAAAAGAAAAAATTAAATCAGTTCAACACAGTTGTGCATAGCATGTTAACATGACATGAGGGTCTGGGGATAAAAGGATGCATGAGCATCCTCAGGAAAGACTGCACCTTAGGAGAAATGCTTGACAAGGAGGGCAATTTGCTCTGCTTTAAAAAATTCTCTTCAAGCCAAAAGTTTAACTACATATGATTTGCTCATATACATAAAATTTATATTTTTTTTGGCCTAAACTCTTCAGCTAGTTTAGATCTTTTCTATATGAATTTATGTTGATTTGATGTCAGATATAAAATTTTTAGTATCAAGCCATCAATTTGTGATACAATTTTTGGAGCTCTATAATTAGATACCTATTGTCACATCAAATTCAAAAGCAGCCTCAAGTATTCTGCTTCCTGCCTCCTGGGCAAGGAGAAGGAACTGTGTTTTAAGTTACTGTGCATTGTTGAAAATAAATTTAAGCACATGCTTTGAGAAATCTGTTACAAAGACAAATCTTCCTAAGCAAATAGCCAAATGCTTTTAAGTATCTATGTGGGGCAGATCCATCAGTGAGCAGTTTACTATAACAAGCCTTTGATGGAGCACCTGTCCCAGGCCAGCCATTGCCAACTGGAGCTAAAAATGAAATGTGACCCAGGAGCTTAGAGTCCATCCAGAGGTTCTCAGATGTCAGTGTCAACGTCAAAGAGAAAACACGTTATAATGTAAATTTGCTGATCACATCATTAAAGATGCTGAATGATACAGAATCAATTAAGATACCTCATGATCTGCATTTGCCAATCATTCTCTGTTACTGTAGATTCTTCAAAGTCTTATTTTGAGAAAACTGCTAGATATAAGAATATACAAATTAAATTATAGTATATCAGCTTTAATAGAGATGTGTGTGTGTGTGTGTGTGTGTGTGTGTGTGTGTGTGTGTGTGTGTGCAGGCACATGCTATTTTTTGGAAGTAGAAATGATAAAATAGATATGTCAGATATTAGAGATTATATAACATTTTAGTTGAGTCTTTAAATGGTAATAACAGTGACCAGATAGGGAATTGGGAAATTGGTTCTGGACAGAGGTAGTGGCCTGAAATAAAATTAAATGCTCTTGGCAGTGAAGCAAGCTCAGAGATTTTATACTCTGAAGTAATGACAGTGTATGTAGGAATGTTAATTCCTGAATGGTCTTTAAAATCTGTGACTGTGAAATGTATAGAACACATATATGTTTAGAGGCAAGTCTCCTCCTCATTCAACCTTCCTCAGATCTTCCTCTGTCTGTATGCAGCACTGTAGGACATCATCAGCAGGACATCTAGAAGTCAATTTACTTGTACTAGCTACAACCTAGTCTTTTGCAAACGCTGCTTCTCCTCCACAATTGCAGCCCCAATTTAACCACTTAAACTTCATTTCTCCTGTTGAGTGCTCAGAAGGTGTCTGTCTTGGTTAGAGTTTCTGTTGCTTCCACCAAACACCATGACCAAAAAGCAAGTTGGAGAGGAAAGGGATTATTTGGTTTGCACTTCCTTATTGCTGTTCATCACTGAAGGAAGTCAGGACAAGAACACAAGCAGGGCAGGATCCTGGAGGCAGGAGCTGAGGCAGAGGTCATGGAAGATTGCTGCTTCCTGGCTTGCTTCCCCAGACTTGCTCTACCTGCTTTCCTATAGAACTCCAAAGCATCAACCCACAGATGGCGCCACCCACAATGTGGGTCCTTCCACATCACAATTGAGTAAATCACCCACAGCTGGATCTCACTGAGGAATTTCCTCAACTAAGGCTCCTTCCTCTTTGATTACTCTAGCTTACGTCAAGTTGACACACAAAAGCAGCCAGTACAGTGTCTAATTTTGGCCTGTACTCCAATTTCTCTTTTACTCTTTGCAAAACTCTCCTGATATAAATAATATTCTAACAAGTTCTACTGTTTATAATCAGTGAGTAGATTATTCATATTTTCAGTCAGAAAATTATTCATATATTTTATAACTTATGGGGCTCATATTTTAACAATAGCAAAGATCTTGACATTTAGTTGCTAAAAGCATATGACAGCTACCTGGGGAAGGTAACAGACGTGCAAAAACTCTTCTTTCTGATGAATAACTGTTACCTGAAGAGCTTCCCCATCTGTCCTCACTGCATCTCCTCCCAACCTGTTCTCTCACTGGTTCCTCTCTGTTCTGAGGCAGATCATACGATTATTTTTAGCCTAGGGATGTGCTTCTCCCTTTCATATCGGTTGCTTTGCAAACTCCCACTCCATCCTTAGATCTTCTTGGGGTTGCTTTCAATCTCAGATCAGATGCTACCTCCTCAGTGAGGTCTTTGAGGCCACCCTACATAATGCTGGTCCCCAAGTCCTTCACCCACTTTCTCTCTTCTCCTAAAAGCCATTGTATAACACATCTTATATTTCTCATGTGCCCTACCTTGGGCAGAAAGCAAGTAGTAGCCTGTTTACTCTTTGGTGCATCCTCGGTTATGGAAATGGGTTCTGGTACTTTGGTGAAAATTGACAACAGGGACAATATCTGATTTGTTTTAGAATGTCTTGGTTTTGATAGAGGATTTGGCAGATTTAAGAGTTAATAAATGTTTTTTATCATTGAATTGAATTAGGTATTAATTCATGGGTTCTCAGAGTTGGATGGAATTTAAGACATTATACTGTCTAATTCTATATTTTGAAGGTGAGATGTGGATTATCATGTGTCAGATCACAAGCTGATTTCTAATTCAGTGAGGTTAGATAATACGTTTCTTAGCAACCTAGGTATTTCCCCACGAAACTATGTCATTCAATTAAAGCTCTTTTTATGTTCCTAGAAATCTTAGAAAACACATTCCTATTTTTAATAAGTAATTCTTAGAAGTATGCAGTGTAACAAGTATTACAATTTTGAAAACTTAGATCTTGATTAAAGTATTGGGTCCTTTGATAAAAATATTGTTATTAAGATGCTACCCAAGATGTCTGGAGAATGGTTCAGTTGATAAATTGCTTTCTATACTTGCAAGGAGACATGCGTTTAATCCTAGAGCACATATGAAAGTCAGGGACAATGGAGCATGTCCATAATCCAGATACTAGAGAAGTAGAAACAAGGTGATCCCTGGAGCTTGCTTGGGTAGGCAGTCTAAGCTGAATCACTGTGAGAAATACTGTCTTAAAAATATGAATGATTGCAGAGGAATTCTATATTAACCCTTAGCCCATGTACACTTGCACAGAAATAAAAATGCTACCCATAAACACATGCTATAATTGTTTCGTTAAATGCTATGCTATATATAGAACAGCAGTAATAATTACATTAAACATTACTTGGTGATTGATTGTGTCCTAACCTCACTAATTGTTTTGTGTTCATTAATACCATTGTGTTTTGTCTTTTTAATATTTAGCCTAGTTTCAATAATAAGCATAGGGTATATATGTTATCACCAAAGAGAACTTGTTATATCTAGAATCTGACTGGAATCAATCAATATTAATCATTTCTGATACTACATTGCCAGTGATGGCACCAGCTGCTCCAACTCTCTCTCTTCTCTCTCTCTCTCTCTCTCCCTCTGTGTGTGTGTGTGTGTGTGTGTGTGTGTGTGTGTGTGTGTGTGTATGTGTATGTGTATGTTATTTATTTTTAGTAGGGGACCATAGCTTCAACTGGCATTTTTATCAGTGGCATCGTTCACATTATGTTGAATCTGAACCTTAGCAATGATATTAATATGTCCGTGAATTAAATTCTAAAGTGAATGATATGTGTACCTGAAGAAATAACAAATAAACAAAACTCCTGTGTTTTGGTGACTTCAAACTCTAGTGGAGCATATTCCAGCAGGGCAGGTGGTCTGTCCTTTTGCTCTGTGCTAAGCATATCTGATCTATCCCCTGGGTACATTTTCTTTCAATTGGGATCAATTAACTTCAAATTCAGTGGTAACCAGATGCTGCTGAAAGCACCAGCAAGTGCCATCCTCTCCTGAGTTTTCTGAAGGTCATCCATGCTATTTGATAGTTTTGTCGCTTCCCTTTTTGTTGCTGTTGCTGTTGTCAGAAATCCAGGCTGTACTAATAACTCCTTCCTTTTGTTATATTTCAATAAGCAATATAAATTCCTTTACATTTTGCATTTGATGAGGCATCATGACACAGAAAAGAGAACATTATTTCCCAAGGATCCAGTACATTTGGTTTCTGTAAAAAATTACTGCTGTAGCTGTCCTTCTGTCACAGCACGGCACAATGCTGGGATGGGGGTTGGGGGCAGCTTGCTCCTTCTCGGCTGTGAATGTCAGATCGAATCATTCCACATTCTATAAAGTAGAGACCACTTTTCAATCTGGTCATCAAAATAATTTTTGAGGGCATTTAAAGAAGAATCAATATATAGGCATATGCCTGTTGATTACCTTTTTAGAACTTTTTTTTTTGCACACAGTCACAAAAGGGCCAGAGACTTAATTTATTCATAATTTCATTTAGCAAAATTATTTTTAAAATTGGTTTCTGCAATGTTCATTAACATCAGTACCCTTTGTGTGTTACCTTAGTGAGTTTTGATTAACTATTTAATGTTGCATCCAGAGGCTTATGAGTATATTCACTATACTCAATATGGAGGAAAGGGGGAAGAACAGGGAAGACAATCTGATTATTGTGTGCTGGGTGACTTCCATAGTCACTCTTTTAACTTCTAAATTTTCCTTTGATTCTCTATAGTTATATGCCCCTGGGATCTGTTTAGCCAGTTAGGATTTCTATGCCAGTGTCAGCTGCACATCTCAAAACTTTTATGCAAAGCTCATTTGTTTTGAGAGGTTACAAACTTACATTTTAAATTATTTATGTTTGATTTAAAAACACTTCTGTAAATTAAACGGTACATGAAAGCAACACACCTGTCCTGCGAACCTTTGAGGACTCCTTGAAAACTCCCATGGCTTTTGCTAAAGACTCTTTTGTGAAAATGAGAAAATTAGGAATTACTTATACTCTATGAATTTAAAGCGTCCCCTGTCTTTCTGTGGCACAATGTTGGATGTTAAGGAAACCAACTGAGCTACCTCTAAAATGGATTAAGAAAAAAACTCTGATTGACCTGGGGGGGGGGGAGGACAGTAGTAGTCTGACTGGGTCTGTCCTTCTGGGAGTACTGCACTGATGGGACAGTAGTGCCCTAGAATGGATTCGGATTTACAAAACTTACACAGGAACTCTCTTTCTTTTTAAATCAGTGTTTTTACATACTAGCCTGTCCTGGACCAGCAGGTTGTTCTTCAGTGACAGGATGCTAAGTGAGAGGAACAGGGATGTGACGATGAAGATGAGCAAGTTTATGAAGAAGGACAGCACCTTATATACAGTTTTCCTGAAAAGCAAAATTGGGACAAAGTATGCAAAATACTATCATACAATGGGAAGAGTTGTGTTCTCAGGATCCAAAACCGCAGCTCCTCCAGGGCCCCTGACCCCAGGCCATTTCTGGCATTACTAAGCATGTGCCTGGTTTTAGACAAGGAACTAAGTTCATTCTCCATACATCAGGACCTCAGGGAAAGTCCTGGAGTTGCCTAGCCCTTAACAGTAGCCTATTTGTCTTTATATTTAAAAATAAATTTATAAAATCCTGATATGTCATTAGTTCTCTAGGAGAAACCATGTTTATCCTATATTTTCCCTTTACAAGGCACGGTGTGACATTTTTCTAGAATTTAAGGAACACGTAAGGGCATCTGGCAGTTAGATGGCCTAGAGTGGAGAATGTGCGCTACACTGCTCTGCAGCTGGCTTGTCAGATGGATATTTTACCTTGGTTGCTATTAAAATTAGGTTCTCTTTTCTTGAGTGCTGAAAAAGGACTCGGAGGAGTTCTTTATGTCACTGTGAATGTAATTTGGGATTAATTTGCAATTGCTCAAATAAGTAACAGTCAAAAGGCTACAATACTATTGGATACTTTGTGTCCAGGAGAGTAATTTGTATTGTTAGCACACTTTGGGGGGTAGGGCACAGTAGATGTTTCAGTCAGTAAAGTGCTTGCCTACTAAGCACCAGGACATGAGTTTGACCCTAGAACCCATGTAAAAATGTCAGGCATGATAGTTTGTGTGTTAGTTTCCCCAGGACTGGGAGCTGGGATGTTGGCTATAAGAACAACACTGGGGTTCACTGACCAAACACTGGACCCTAATCGGTAAATCTAAGTCAATGAGAGAGTTTCTCTCAAATGAGTTGGATGGTGTTCCTGATGATGAGGAGTTCAGTCTCCATCAACATGTATGAACCTATTAAACTGAACAAACAAATACACACTCAGGATTCTAAAGCAAGTTGGTGCCTTTCTTTTCTTCTTGTAGGCCAGAAGTCACAGAGACCTTCTACAGCAAACTTCCCTGTTTCCAACTCTGCTCGAAAAGGCTCCAGCTGCTGGGTGTCCTCTTCTCCCCGACCCAGGAGTGTGGCCACTCAATCCCTATCCAGAGCTGCATCTGAAATTTCAGAAATTGAATACATAGATGTCACTGACCAGAATGAGCCTTTCCTAGATAACACTGAAGATCAACAAGCCTTAGACAGTTTGGAGAAAGAATTAAATGTGCTGAGAAACCTTGCAGGTGAATAATAGATTTGACTTATAAAATAGTAACTCTGTTCTCTGCTTCAGTCTTTACATGTTGCTCTACAACAGGCAAATGGAAAAGGCATTTCCTTCCCATGTGTCTATTTCCTTTGATATCCCCAATACCACATAAAAATACTTATAAAATATGTGGTTTCTGATCCCACAGAAAAGCTGGTCATCCTCAACCCATGTAATACACAAAAAAACATTTGACATAGGAACTTTCAAATTTGGGCAAGCATTATATCTCCATGTATATAGCCATCTGAGTAAGACTGACAACTAGAATTTGACCCCAGGGACACACATGGTAGAATTCCCCAAGTTTCTCTCTGACTTCCTTGTATATGCAGTGGTATGTATATATGTGTACTAACACACACAAAATATAATGAAAAACTAGTTTAAGAAACGAAACCTTTTTTATCTTTCCTTCAAGTACAATGAAGGGTTAATATCTTAATTTTTGTGAAACCCTCTGTCCAGCATTCTTGTGGGAAAATTGAGCTGTTAGGATTCTTAAAGCAGTCCTTCCCAACCTTAAATATATGCACACCCCCACTCCGGGGTCTTCTTCAGATACATACTGATGTAGTGAGTCTGCGCATCTAACAAGTGCCCAGGCAGTACCCAGATGAGTAGGTAACAGCAGTTTGGGAAGGGATTCTACTTGTTCATTCTATTTCCAACCTCAATAACTGCAGACAGTGTGACAAATGCCACCCTATTCTTTAACATCGCAAGTGTCTAGCAGTAACAAAACATCAGGGAGGCAATCCTCTTACAGCTTTCACAGTTGGAAACCAACTGTAGGTACAAACGCCAGAAAATTATCTGGGTTTTCTTTTTGTGTGTGTGTGTGTATTCCACACTTGTCACAACCCTGCCATCCTGCCCCTTGCTGTTAGTAACCTTCTTTCTCACTTACTAAGTTTACAAAACTTTGTTACTTTTCTAAGAATCATCTCACTCAATTTTGAACAATTCAGGCAGTAAGAATAAAATGTAAGCCAAAAAGAAAAGAAAAGAAAAGCCCATACAATCACAAAATCTTACTATTCTTAAAACAACCACAGTTAACTACAGTGAGTATCATTTCAAATATGTTTGTATCGTAAGTACACAAGTAAGATTACGTATTTATAGGGATGTTGCATCACTCTGACTGGGGAGTGTATTTGTATTCACCCTAGAGAGAGAAGCAAGTGACAGCCTTTAGGAGTGATACTATCCATGTCCTGTTGCTGAAACAAGGAGGTTCAGCATTGAGGTTCATTGGGGTTTCAGGAGTACGGGTGACTTCAGTAGTTGCAATTGGAAAAGCCCAGCCTGGCATGAGTGAATATTTACCCAAGGTCTGTCACTGTAATTCACTGCCCAGCTTGCAGGCAGCTGCACCCAGGGGTCTTCTGCTCTCAGCCAGACCTCACCACCAAAATTCTTTACTGCTGCTATAACGTTTGGAGAGACCTCATGAGTCTTGGGAGATACTGATCTTCTTGAGTCTTGTAGCTTTCTCCTTAGTTTTGAGATTCCCTTCTCCTTCCAAAAGGGAATGTTTGAAACCTGAGGAAAACACATCCACAGAGAGGTGTAGACAGGTTAAAAAGAAGGAGGTAATACTGTAACTTCATAAAAACAGATGCCCGATATCTCGCACAATACTTTTAAACTGTAGCTAGACAGGCATATAGGTTCAACAACTTAACGGGATGGAAATGCACATGTTCACGAAGTATTTTTACCAGAACCCTGCCTAGTTACCTTTATAAAATTGCCCCTTTTTTGACCAGAAACACTGTAATATTGACAGTTCATTCTATTTTTTGTGCATGTTTCTTAACGTTTAAGAAAACTAGAAAAAGGAAAATTTGGCAATTGAGTGTTTCTGCTTTAGTTTTTTTTTTTTTACTTTAATTCATCTCTCAAATAAAAGACAAAGAATCATTTATTCACTTTATTAAATCACATGCTATTCTAGATGGTAGTAAATATATCTCAGTGAGTTATAATTTGTTATCTTGTCAAGATTTCCTTCTAGTTTCTTTCTTGGTCAAGATTTCCATGGATTAAGTTCTCTGCCCTCCCAAAGGCCTATTTTCATTAATCTTGAGCAAGTTTCATAATGATATTCTTGAAAATATTTGTCTTTAAAAAGTCTTTTTAATGTTTCTCTATTGTGTGTGCTTGGGTATACGTTTCCTGTGGAGTTGGTGCATATGTCACGGCAAGTGTGGAGGTCTGAGGACAACTTTGCAAAGCCGTTCATCTCATTATACCTCTACATGGGTTCTCCAGCTCAAACTCAGATTGCCAGGCTTGCTCAGCAAGTGCTTTACCCAGAGGGCTGGCTTGCTGGGCCACACACTATTTCTGTCATGACTAATCACTTAAATGTATGCAACTAATTAATAGATCTGAACTTTCTGTCCTGTGCACAATAGTAGTCATCTCCTCACCAACTTCTGTCCCTGTGTTTCCACTGAAGTTTCGTTTGGTGGAGCCTAATAGTCCTGTTGGTTTTCCATTCAGGGAAGGCTATGGGGCTGTGTTACTGGAAGTAGCTTCAGTTTAGAATCCCCTGAGAACTTTGTATGTGAAAAACAGATCAGCTTAGAATAGGAGCCTGATGTCTTTTCTTTGAAATCTCCCCCAGGGACTTTCCTGGCTCTGGATCCCACACCCTGGCTGTGACATAGTCGGAGGGTGTCTGTTTGCAACCTCACTATTTCTTTGTCACTTCTTGTGGTTCATTCTTGGTCTTATCAGTGCATTTGGTTCAGACTTTGTTCCTGGAAGGATATACTGAATGTCCTTTGTTTAACTGTTTTAGTCCTTTTTTCTTTGCTCAACGTTTTTCATATACTGTATTCTAATCATATTTCCCCTAGGCCCATGGCCTATCTTGTCTCGTATTCTTGCCCCCTTCGTGACAGGAGCAGGATGATTCTCTTTCAGATCTCTTCCAGTGGCAGTCTTTCTTTCTGACTATAGAATAAATTCCTCATTTCAGAAAAAAAAAAATCTGCTTTTATATCCTTGAATTGGTTTCTGTTACACTCTGCTTTCTCCTGCTGGGAACCTATTTTCTTTCGTTGGATCCCCTTTTGACAAGGCATTTCCAATATGTCCTTCAGTTGCCGCATTAGCTGAGCTTCTCTCAGTGGCTGTCTTCCAAGAGAAAGTCAAAAAAGTTCGGATCAGTGTTCAGACCATGAGGCTGAATTTCTCAGCTGGTCTTCAGAATACGCCAGAATCCCCGATGAAGCAGGCTCTAACGCCAGTGAGGAACGAGCTTCCCAGTGAGAGTGAGGGCAAGCAGGCAGAGAACAAGAGCCTTCTTCTATGTCCTTTATATGGGCAGCCACCAGGAGGTGTGGCTCAGAGCTAATTAAGATGGATATTCCTATCTCAAATGATCCGTTCAAGGAAAATTCATACCCAGCTGCTTGTGTTTTGGCTCAATCCAGATGTAGTCAAGTTGAGAGCCAAGAATAGCCATCACAGTTGCTTTATGTGATTTTTATTTCCACATGTATTTGCTGTGCTTTTCTTAAAGCTTAAATTCTGTCAGAATTTTAAAAGCCAGTTCACTAACAACATGGCTTTAACTTTTTCTTTGATATTATTGATAGAACTTCTGAAGTAATTTCAAGCTTTTAGAAAATTTGTAGAAGAGACTAGAAATGCAACAAACTCATAGACATATGCATGTTCTGAGACAGAGGGAGATGAGAGAGAGAAGGAAGAAATATGGAGCAGGGCCAGGAGAGTAGAGTGAGAGAATGCATTTCATTTTTTAATACTTTTTAGATCCAGACATTGTGACTTTACCAAGAATCATGTCCCAGTGTGCATCTCCCTGAACAAGAACACCTCCTAACCAGAGATGCCGGCATGCTGAGTCAGTCAGTTAACATGATGGAGATGCTTCTCTATGCCACACGACATGTTTAACAGTTCTGTCCTAACACTTGTTAGAGCTCACTATTTCTCTGGTATAAGATCCAATGGGGCCAAAGTAGCCATTTAATTTGCTTTGTTATGTTGGATCTTTGATTAGTTTTGTTGTTAAAAAGTAGTTTGTTTTATTTCTTTTGTAGGCAAAGGATTTGTGTGGAATATTTTTATGATCTTAAAGTGGGTTTCTGCCAAATTATTCTTTTTAGTTATTAGTAATATTATTGACACAAGGTGTTGTCATAGAGCCCAGCCTGGTCAGAAGATTGCTACATAGTCTAGTTATTCTTGGAATTAAGCATCTTCCTCAGACTCTCTAGTGTTGGGATTACAGGTATATGGTGCAATGCGTAGCTTTTGGTTAATCTTTAATTTATCAATGCATCATAGCACTGATTCTTGGACTCTCTTGTATTGGCACAGTCAGTTGGTATGGCCCTGTCTTTGTATGTGACTTTGTGCTTTTGTTATCAGCCTGAAATAATGGACATCTGAAATCTTCTGCATTGCAGTGATACCAGTCTTCCGTTTGATTCTGCTGTCTGAAGTTGGATGTTGTCCTTTCAGCTCAAAGGCTGAGTGGGGGAGACGAGAAGAGCTCAAATCAAAGAATTAGATGTTGTAGCATAGCCACTTGAGCTAAAGAAACTTGGGTCTAGTACCAATTTTCATTGTATAGTGAACTACTATTTTTCTGTGGGTGCTCATTTTTCTAATCTAACAATGGTGGTGATATTCCTTTTTAATATAACCCGACTTTTAAGAGTTTTGTTTCATAGTAAATCTTATCAAGAGTCCTCAAATATAAATGAGATTAGATGACTCTGATTGCTTTGGGATTGTGGGGAAGAACTTCATCTCAAACTTAATTTATCTAAGTGTATCATAATTTGAAAATCACTGAGCTAAATAATTTTAAGGAAGTTTCAATCTGTAAATATATTGAGGTCTATCTTTCAGGGGGAACAATGTAATTTAGTTTCAGTGGGGAAATCTGCTTGCTCAAAAACCGAAAGTTACTATTAACCATGAAAAACTAAATATTTTTAAGTCTAGTGTGAGAATATTGTTTTAGTGTTCATTCCTTGCAACTAGGTAGTTAACTATTTGGCATGTTTGTAAAAGGGAAGAGAACAGCACCTGGTGATGGTGGTGGCAGCCTAAATAGTCATCATAATGTGTCACAATAACTTAGATGGCTTAATGGGCTGGGGATGTAGTTTAGTTGGTAGAGTGCTAACATACACAAAACTCTGGATTCTAATTTTAGTACCTCGCAAACAGGACACAGTGAGTCACATCTGTAATCACAACATTCAGCTGGTAGTGAAAAGGGAATATGAAGTTCAAGGTCATCCTTTGCAATATATTAATTCAACCTAGGCTACTTAGACACCGTATTAAAACAGAAAGTTACATCAATGTCGGAAAGAATGCATTGAGGTCTATCATAGGAATATTTATTTCCATATTTGGATTTAGAGTAGTTTGCATAAAGATAAATTTGTCTAAACATCATTTTTTTACATGCACTATTTGTCTACATCCAGGCCATTGAACCACAGGCCAGCAGGATGAAAAGAGAGAATACTTAAAGCTTGCCATCCCCTCTCCCTTCGTCAAATACAAGGGATCATTTCCCCTAAGCAAAGGAGCCAGAAAAGAAAGGGCATTGCAGAACAAACACACAGATAATAAAGTATCTAATTCTCAGGCAAATTGAAGAACTACATAATAATCTAGTGTTATGGAGGATTACTTCATTTCATTTAGAATTTTGTGAATTGTCAGGATATTTGACATATTTCACAAGGAACATACATATTTCAAAAACCAGTATGTTTATGGTGACTTGACACCATGTCTTTGTTTATTTCTTTTTCTCCTTTCCCTCCTTCCTTCCTTCTCCTTTTTCCTTTTGGCCCTAGTTATTGGACCCAAGGCTTTGTACATATCAGTCAAGCACTGTATCTCTTACCCTGTGCTCCAAGGAATATCAAACCAAACTTCAACATCCCCCATATATTAAAAAATTGGTATGTGGTGACAAGTCTGTGTTGACAATCTTTGTGCTACTTGCCATTATTTCTGGGTAAATTCCAGCAACATAGGATGTTCACGTTTCTTTGATGTATGTGCTAGTGATATATGGAATAACATGTTTCAGATCCTTCAGAACAACTTCAAAGTCTACCCTCAGAAGATTTACAGACCTTCACCCACCATCCTCTGAACTTCAGCCAGATGTCCGAAGACCTCCTTGAGATGTCATGTGAGAGTGATGCCTCTAAGATTGAGTTCAGGTAAGTTAAACCCACAGCTTCCCAAAGAAAGATGTTTCATAGTAGATCAGATGGGTTCCAAACAGTTTTCCTCATTATATAAGAAATTTTGCCTACATGCGTCAAATTTATGACCATTTTTATTTTTGTAAAATGTTTGGTTCTTGTGCTGACCTAGTATTGTGATTTAGTGAAAGTCTTATAAAATTATTACTTTTATTTGAAGCCATTTCTCTGCTATATAGTATCAGTTATTAGAGGGGGGCAAAGGAACTAGCAATCCTCCAGTATTATATTGAAAGACAGTTATCTTACTTGAATTAACTAGTATGATAAATTTCTACAGTTTGCATTAATTGAAGAACTACATAATAATCTAGTGTTATGGAGGATTACTTCATTTCATTTAGAATTTTACCCAGTGCAAAAATTAAAGACCAGAATATTGAGAAGTTCTTTTCCTTAAAATGGACTCTAGAATTTTCCAATGTTTTAATTTGTACAACTTTATTATTTTTTTCAAATGGAGATCACTTTAAAAGATATAGAAGTCAAATTGACATGTGTGAAAAAAAGCAATAAGTTTGTCTATTGGTGGCACTGGCTGTTTCAAAGGAGGGTCTCTCTTTTTGAAATAAGAAAATAAATTCAAAATAAACGTCTCTCTAATGATAAGTCCCTAGGATTGGCTTAAAGTCTAATGCTGAACTCAAAGGGAATATAGAGTTTGTAATTCAGTCTTTCTGAAAGCGAAAAGCTTTGCCTGAGCTCTTAAATTTTTTGCATTTCAATACAAATAACACTTTTAAAAATGAATAGTATGAAAGTACTCATTTCCCCCTAAAATGTTATTAAAACCCAACTAACTCTATATGTGTCTTCATTGTCATTTCACAAAAGAAATTCAATACTAAAAATATGGAGGGATGAATGATACAAAGCAGGATTTATAACTAAAAGGGTCACATGATAATCAGCTGGCCCTTGTATTCTCTGCCCAGCTGGTTCACAGATGAGTTTGTGGATCGCTGACTCAGCCTGCTTTGGATTTGATAAAATAATCTTTAAAGGTGCTATGTCTACTGCAGGGTGCATATTTTCATATTTACTGGCATATGTGGGCTGGAAATCCTGGTAACTTTGAACCAAAATATTTGAATGATACAGATAATTTTGTTCTCCCAAGCTATGTTATTTCTAAACCATAGACACACACATGTTAGAGCTTTGGGCTTTCCATGTCCCCCTACTGATACAACAAAACAAAACAAATCAAACAAGAGCAAAAAACGGGCAAGTAATTACTGTCATTGAATTTTAGCTTTGGTTTATCTTGAGTGACTACCCATATAGTTCTAATTTACTGTACACAAAGGAGTGATTTATCTGAATGTCTATTCATTGGGATTCTTTTAAGCAGCCAATATCATGATGAATGTTCTTAACGATGACCCCGAGGCTCTGCAGATTTTAGAAGTTCTTTTTAATCATCAGGGAAGAACACGACCGGAGCCCATAAATATTCTTTCCCTTTGGTAGGATTGTAGCTTTGTTTCTTCGAAGCAGGAAAATGATGGGGAGACTTAGTATATCTTAGGTGCATGAAAACTTACCCCTTCAGCCTGCTTCCAATGACTTCAACCTATGTAGTATTGACCATAAGAAAAATGAAAGCTGAACCTTGGTGTCATATGCTGCGTATTGATCTTCTAATGCATTTTCAGCTCTTCTGGAAGAAATACCGAAGTGCAGTCTTTGCTGTCACTTGGTGACTACAGCACAGATGAGGAAGAGGAAGATTTTCTTGATAAGCAATGTGTCACTACACTACCGTGGGCGAAGAATGTGTAACAGTTCATTACTTCTCCATTTTGTACCCAGAATAAACCAAGCAACTGAGTGATTAACTTGTGCAGGTGTTGGCGAGGATTCGTATCTCTGATGTTTTTAGGCTTGAAAAAAAATAAGGGTTAGTAATGTTAAAAGTTTAAGGTCCTTTTCTTCCAGACACCATATTGTATGTCAAACATTCATCTTTATTGCAGATGACACTGGTAATGGGTAAATTTATGTCAATTTACCATAGAACAGAACACTATGGTGTTAAAGCTAATTAATGTTTCTTATTTAATTATATTTGAGAATTACATCAAAAAGTAAATTCTCTATGGCCATGTCATCACAGTGTTATCAATGAGGTTAAAATTACAGTGCTTTTATCTGTGCTCCCCCGCCCCCACCCCCCACACACACTTTGGACACTGAATAATGGTGGCTTCTAAAGTGTCTCTAAATTGAGACTTCTAAAGTTGATGCAAAGGGGAAAATAAGATGTAAAATAAAATGGCTATAATATTTGTTTTAATTCAAGTACATTTTACAAAGAGACCTCTAAGCACCGTCATTTGGGACAATCAATGAATCAGTAGATTTTATGTGCCAGTTTGACAAGTCTGCAGTGCTCAGACATTATTACAGATGTTTCTGGTAGGCAGTTTTTGATGAGAATAACAGTTCCATCACTACGATATGGGTAAAGCAGATTATTCTGGACAATGTGGATGGGACTCATACACCTTAAGAATAAATAATTTCCTCTAAAGGAGATAAAATTTTGCCTTTAGGCTCCCTTTTGGCAACAACTTTACCAGCAGTTCTTCTTTGGGTCTCCAACCTGCCCCCTGGCAATTTGGAGTTAGCAGTGCATCTTTGTGAATTGTTCCCTTCCCTACACACACACATGAAGTTCCACCACCACCTATGCGGTTCCTTATGCCTCTAGACAACCCTAATGTAGGCTGTTTGAAAGTTGGTCATTGCTGTAAGAGGACATAACCTATTGTCTATTTCCTGCTGCTCTTCCCTAGTTCTAGATGTTGAGGTTTGTGACTGTTGGAGATTTTTACATAATATTACAGTTGACATATTTAAGAAATGGCAAGGAAAGACATGGGTAGCATAGTAGTTGATATTTTCTGTCCTTTTATCCTTTTACAGCAGTTTCTCCTGATTTTTTGAGTTTGTTGATTTAAAAAAAGTATCATTGCTGTTTGGTTGTGTTTCTATCAAATATATCTACTCATTCATGTTTGATCCTCTTTTTCATGTGTTATTGATTTCAGGTTTTTTTTTAATATGTTGCTGTGAATTTTTATGTCTGTGTATATCAGGAAAGTTAGTCTATAATTCTCTACTTTGGGGACTTTATGAAGTTTAGTGATCAGGGTAACTGTAGCCTCAAAAATAAATTGGGCAATATTTCTTGTTATTATTTTTGAAATAATTTGAGGAATATTGGCACTAATTTATCTCTGAAAGTCTGGTAGAATTCTGCCCTAAAATCATCTAGCCCTGGGACTTATTTGGTTGATAGACTTTTAATTATTGCTAGAGGTCTGTTTAAATTACTAATCTGATGTTGATTTAACTTTGGTAGGTGGCATGTATCAAGAAAAATTTCCATTTCTTTTAGATTTTTCAATTTGGTGTGCAGGTTTTTATAGGCTGCCCTTATGATTCAATGGATTTCCTCGGTGTCTGTAGTTATGTACCTATTTTATTGATTTCATCAAATAACCAGCTGTTTATTTCATTGATTCTTTTTATTGAATTGTATTGTATTGTTTGTGTTAATTTTATTCATTTCAGCCCTGAGTTTAATTTCTTGCCATCAGCTCCTTTGGGTATGATTTTTTCTTTGTTTTCTAGAAATGTGAGCTGTGATGTTAAGTTACTAGTACAAGATCTCTCCAAATTATAGAATGTAGGCACTTAGTGCTATGAACTTGCCTCTTTGAACTCACTGTGTCCCTTAAGTTTGGGTATGTTGTTTTTCATTTTTATTCAGTTCTAGAAAGTCTTGAATTTCTTAATTTGTTTTTCTTCTAGGAGTGAGTTGTTCAGTTTCCATGAATTTGTAACCTTTCTGTTGGTTATGTTGTTAATATCTAGCTTTAACCCATAGTGGTCACATAGGATACATAGGGTTAGCACCAGGATTTCTTTACTTAGTTTTGTATGGATGGCCTGATTATTAGTGGGAGTGGGTAATTAAGGTCTCCCACTAACAGTGTATGTGATTTAAGCTGCAGTAGTGTTTCTTCTATAACTTTGGGTGACCTTGTGTTTGAGGTGCAGAGATATTAAGAACTATAATATTGTCTTGGAAGAATTTTCTTTTCTTGAGTATGTAGTATCCTTTCCTATTTCTTACTAGTTTGAGTTTGAAGTCTATTTTGTCAGATATTAAATCACTACATTGTCTTGCTTCTTGGATCCATTTGCTTAGGTTACCTTTTCCCATCATTTACATTCAGATGATGTCTATCCTTGATGTTAAAGTGTACTTTTTAGATGCAACAGAAGGATAGACCCTGTTTTTACATCCTTTCTGTTAGTTTGTGGTTTTTTATTGAGAAATTGACACCATTAATATAGAGAGTCATCAATCAGCAGTGTGTATTGGTTTCTGTTAATTTTGTTGTTGAGGTGTGGGTTTTTTCTCCCTACTTATATGCTGATCTAAGATGATTGATTCTTTGTGTTTGCTTGCATATGGTTATTCTCTGCTGATTGAAGTTTTTCATTTTGGTACATTCTGTAGTGCTGGATTTGTAGATATACTCTTTAAATTTGATTTTATCTTGGAGTGTCTTTCTTCATTTATTATGATTCCTAGGTATAGTAATCTGGGATGCCATACATGGTCCCTTATTGTCTATAGAACATTTGTCTAGGCCTTCTGGTTTTGAGAGTCTCCCTTGAAAAGTCAGAATTTATTCTAATTGGTCTGCCTTTATATGTTACTTCGTCTTATTCCCTTGCAGCTTTTAATATTCTTCTTTGTTCTGAAAGTTTAGTGTTCAGATTATTATATGCTGAGGGAATTTCTTTTCTGATCTAGTCTATTGGGTATTCATTATGCTTCTTGTACCTTGATAAACATTTCATTGTTAAGTTAGGGAAATTCTCTTCTATATTTTTTTGTTAAAATATTGTCTGTGCCTTTGATCTGGGTTTCTTCTCCTTTCTTTATTCCTATTACTCATCGATTTCATCTTTTTGTAGTGATCTAGATTTCCCTGATGCCTTGTGCCTGGAAGATTTTATATTTAACATTTTCTGTGAGAGAGTTATATATTCTTCTATCTTGTCTTCAATGCCTGAGGTTCTCTCTTCCATCTCTGTATTCTCTTGTTGATGCTTGCATCTAAGCCTCCTTTAAAATCCTAAAAATTTTCATTTCCATATTTCTTTCATCTTGGGATTTCTTTATTGATTTTATTTCATCTTTCAGGTCTTAAACTATTTTAGTCATTTCCTTCCACTGCTTGTTTGTCTTTTTATAGATTTCTCCAGGGGATTTATTCATTCTTCCTTGAGGATCTCTATCATATTCATAAAGGGATCATCATTAAGGCCCTTGTCTTGTACTTCGGCTATGTTTCATTTCTCGGGGTCTAATGTAGGAGGATTTCTAGGCTCTAGAGAAGACATATTTTCATGGCTGTTATTGATTGGATTTTTAATGCTGGAGTCTTGGAATCTGGGTTTGGGATCATTGTCAGGGTATGTGCTAATATTTGGTCCTGTCTTTGTTGGGTTGATGTTTTATTCAGTGGTTTCTGTTGCCTTCTCTCATTTTTTTTGGGGGGGGGGGGGGTTGAGACAGGGTTTCTCTGTGTAGCTTTGGAGCCTGTCCTGGAACTCACTCTGTAGCCTAGGCTGGCCTCAAACTCAGAGATCCTCCTGCCTCTGCCTCCAGAGTGCTGGGATTAAAGGCGTTTGCCACCACCACCCGGGTGCCTTCTCTCATTCTTAAGAGAGTGTATTTGCTGTGTATCGCCTTGTAGGGCATTCTTCTGGATTCATGCCAGGTGTGGCTACTGGAGTTTCTGATTAGAATGTGTATTGATAACTAATTTTTAAAAATGGGGATCAGCTGAATGCTGGGGTGGAATCGAGGTGGTCCACGATCTCCAGGAAGAGGGAGAAATGAGGGTTGTTTCAATGGGATCTGCTTATTCTCTTGGAAATTGGGGTAGAGAGTGAGGAGAGGCCACAGGAGTTGATCTGTTACAGATCTGGGGATGAGACTGCTGGGATTTCATTTGGAGGAGAGGAGGGAAAGGGAGAATCTGAAGCTTGCCTTCCAGCTTAGCTAGCCTGCGTACTTCTCTGGCAGGGTTGGCTGGGGCTTTGCAGGGAATCACCTGTTGTAATGGGAGGCTAGGACAAATGGATGAGTATGAGGGAAAGATGGAGGCGAATGTCTGCTGGGCATGAGAGCAGGGAGGGAAAAGAGGCCTCCCCAGGTGGTCTGCTATTGAGCTGGGGGCAACACAGGGGTTTGGGGGAGGATTGGATTTGGAAAAGCTGAGTGAACATCTGCTGGAAGCCTACCTCTTTGGGCAGTGATTTTTATTCTTCTCTTATCATGTCTGCTTTCACAATTCCACAGACACAGCAGTGAGTCTTCCCTCAAATCATCATAGTTTATGTCAAAAGCCCTTCTGGCATCTCTCCCACTGCCACTGGCCTTCTGAGTTTTAGTATCTGTAAGTCAAAATACGTCTTGCACCTTTGTCTTTTAAGGTAGAAAAATACTTCCCTTTAGCACGTTAGCTCATGCATAAGGATTTTTGACTGTCCTTTCCAGCCTTTCCCCAAAATTACAATTTTTAATGAAGAACAAAATTGTTCCTCCATATATGATTTCTAAAACTCAGTGAATTTCTCAGGAAAAGTAAAAGTGGTTTCTTATTTATCTTGAAGAGTTGTATCACTCCTATGCCTTTCATGTGGTCAGCCATGGTGTTAATCTTTTATGTACTGACTTTGAGGATGTTGTATTAGCTTTTCCTGGAGTTACATGAACAGATGTCTATATTCCTCACATGGAGTCCAA